CATAACAAAACAAGGTTTTGAAATCTTAACAGACATTAATAGGTTATTTATTATTATTATAATTTGTAGGCTGGAAGACCTAAGGAATTATTTAATAAGACCAAAAACAGTGTACAAAGTGACCTATAGAAACCAATTAGAATCCATTCCTCATTTGAAGTGCTTAGTACATATAAGTGAAATCTCATTGGTTGCTCTGAATTGCCCTTTGTACATCATTACTATCCTTTGCGCTGCCTTCTTAAAGTGATATTACAGGTGAAACTCGAATAATTAGAATATCGTGCAAAGTTCATTTATTTCACTAATGCAACTTAAAAGGTGAAACTAATATATGAGATAGACTCATTACATGCAAAGCAAGATAGTTCAAGCCGTGATTTGTCATAATTGTGATGATTATGGCTTACAGCTCATGAAAACCCCAAGAACCCCAAATCCACAACCTCAAAAAAGTAGATTATTACATGCAATCAATAAAACAAGGATTGTACATAGAACAATATCGGACCTCTGAAAAGTACAAGCATGCATATGTACTCAGTACTTGGTTTGGGCCCCTTTTGCAGCACTTACTGCAATTACTTTTGCACGATATTCTAATTATTCGAGTTTCACCTGTAAACCTTATTATTATTTATTTTTTTATTATTAACAGGGCAAGATTTAATTGAAATGCGTCTGGTTGCTTTTTAAAAACCAGCCACGCCCCCCTGCTCCCACTGTTAAACTTTGATAGCAAAAGGAGCCTATGGCTCCTCTGCCCTCCGTACCCTCCCCCAGGACCAGGAAGTTTGTGGAAAGTCATGTATCTTCCCGGTCCTGGCGGAAGAGATTACTGACTGCAGAGATGTGTGTGTGGTGGGTGGGTGGGTCGGTGGTAGAAAAACGCCTAGCCTTTAGTGATGCTTTAAATAAACCCTTAGGTGGATAAGTGTGTTAAGGACTAGGCAAAACCACTTGGGATATGGGGGTCTTTATTATAATGTACTAATCATAATCTAACTCACTGTAAACTTTTATCCCTGCATTCATAAAGTAAAAAGATAATAAATGACAGATGTGTAACTACACATATCATGCTACTTTTCTGTTTTAATGTAGGTGACATTCGTCAGTTGCCCAGTATAGAGCCAGGGAACTTATTGGCCGATATATTTGCTACCTTCAAAGGGATAAACTGGGCCATTGAACTTAAGACCAATCACAGGGCGGAATCACAGCTCATTGTGGATAATGCAACAAGGTAAGAGGCTGAAGGACAATGCTTTATATGTGTCATACAGTGAGCTAATGCAGATTCTGCAAAATGATATTTCAGATTCTGCAATATTAATCATGTCTTTTTCTCAAGTATCTCTAACCAGCAAGGTATAAACTTTGATGCTATGCTACATTTTGATGGGAATGTGCACCCTGCAATGCCCAGTGAGGAGAAGAAATGCATTCTGATTTCTTTGGCTGATGAAACTGGTAAGTGGTGTGTTAAGGGTTCATTTCTAAAATTCCTTAGTTAACCGGAACCTGTCACTACTTGGATTTTGTAAGCTAGATACCACCTATGGAAGCGCTTTGTTTTGTGACCCCCCAAAGAAGCAATGCTACGCACAGCGGAGCTGAAACTTTTAAAGAGGACCTTATATTGTATCTCCTGGCAACTTTAAAAAAAAATTTGAAAAGCTATCTTCCCATGTCCCTGGTAAAAATAATGATTGTTTTTTTCTCATGATTTGCTCCTATGTGTATATGGCACTTTTATGGGAACCACGATAACTCAGATATATGTATTCAAGACAAGACAGTTACATTTTAGAGACTTTTTACTTTCTCTGCCAGTTGATAAGTCAGTTGGTCATTCAGTGTTGACTGCCCTGACTGATTTTCATGACATGAACCAATATGCATTCTATTCAGATACTTCATTTTTAATTTTTTTTATTTTAAATTCAATTTACTTTTTCAAACACAGATTTATCTACTGCTATACAAGCATTGCTTAAGTCTGGCCCAGGACTAGCGGATCATAAACACTCTCAGTTCATTGCATTTAGAAGGTAAGCTGTTTAAAATGAATGTATAGCTAGTATGTATATACAGAATTGTATTTTCTTTATTATGGTGGGGTTCAAAAATGCATAAATATTTTTGTCATGTTGGGTAAATAATATAGGTCCACTATAGCAAATTATATTTGTATTCTTGTTAATTCCTTTACTAATGGTAATCAGAGTATCAATTCATTTCTTGTTTTTTTTTTCTTTCTCCTCACATGCTTTGATGATACTTTTCTGTATATTTACATGCAGACCAAGTTGGCCAGCAAACATGATAGTTCCAGTGGTTGAGACAAACTATTATGCTGACAGGGATGCCTATGACGGTCAGCTCTTATTTATGCAGCTTAAAACCCGTCTTTCCTTTTTTTTTTTTTAAATTAATATACTGCTTCTGTTACTAGATGGCCTTTTAATTTGTATAATTGTTAGTCCATTGTAAATCTTAAAAATGTATTCAAGTACCTTTTCAATAACAAAAATGTAGCTTATTTGTGTATCGCACCGCTTTGCACTGTCCGCATATAGTGTGCATTAGCCACTATATGCTGAGTTTTGGGTCACAGGAGGACTTTAGTATAAGTCCTCCTGTAACGCCACAGAGAACTATGGCAAAAAAAAAAGGTTGGGTATGATTCTTTATTTTTTTATAAATATATTAGGGATGCACCGATAACATTTTTTCAAGTAGTAATACTTGTCCAAGTACTGATTCATTTTTGTTTATTGTCATGTGACAGTTTTTCTAAAACAATACAGACTAATGATTTCAGGACAGTGGTGGAGCGCTAGAGTCACGTCCCAGCTGCAACCCTGGTAGTTCTCGTGAAAATGCCAAGTATCTGCACTGGTATCTGAAAATCTCTAATATATATACATTTACAAATATGTTTTAAATGTATGCACATATTTTTCTTTTGTCTATACATTTAGGAAGGATTGTTTACTGATAAATGAACTGTGCTGCAGACACTACTCGAACCATACAATGAAGTAAGTATGTAGCTCTTAGGGCTAGTTCACACCAAAAACGCGTCAAATACGCATCTAAAAGACTAGCGTGCGTGTGCCGAAACCTGACCGGATCTGCTCTGCATTTGGTGTGAACAAGGCCTTAGTGTATGTTGTTAAAGACTTATTCCACCTTTCTGACCATGTTTAATGTAACACCCATATTTCAGATGTAACATGGTCAGATCACAGTTTAAAAAAATTAAATTATCATTAAAAAAATGTAAGCACCCCACAGGCACATGCAAATATGCCTACAACAGGTGTGCCTATTTTGTAAAACAACTGTTGTACCACACATGTTACATATCGATGTGAACACCAGAATAAGAGCAATAAGCCTAGGGCCATTATTCAGTTATCTCTAAACTAAAGCCCTATAAAGGCTTTTATAGCGTTGTTCATGGACAATATTTGATACAGTAGATTTTTTGCTATTTCATAGGTGCATGCAATTTTGAAGTTTGACATGCTTGTTATGTATTTACTCAGTGGAACCTCATATTTTATATAGTTCCAAAAGATTGGATATTGTGTTTATGTGCACTAAAATGTAAAGGTATATTTTTAACTAAAAATCTGGGTTTGGTAAACAGTTGCACCAATATCCTATGGAAAAATTGCAACTGCCATCATTTTATTCTCCAGGGTCTATACTTTCAGAAAATATCTAATTCTGGGGTTTTAGCTAATCTTTTTGTCTAGTTCCACTTTAAAGTACCAACAGAATCAGATTTAAATCCTACAGAGTCACTGGTGGTGGTGGTGGTGGTGGTGGAGCAAGAGCAGAAATTTGCCCTTGGATGGTACCAAAGGCCAAATACTGATCCAGATCATGAAGTGACATTTTCATTCCTTGCACCAAGTGATTGAAGCCTTCCATGTATGTTCGTAGACCTTTCAGAAGGCAACAAAAGGTCATTCAGATATCCCACAATGGGAATGACCTGGGAGCATAGCAAGGCTAGCATGGGGTAAATGGGGTAATTTACCTTGGTAAATACTAGGGATGTGAAAGACAGACCAAACGATACAGCTACAAACTGGTAGTGAGGTATTGTTGATGCACTGGAAAGATGGAGACCTAAAAGTACACGTCCAAAATGTCCACAGAGGCCAGAATGTCTCCCTGATGGAGAGAAATTATGACAGACTTGGTGGATTTCTTACAAAATTTAGGATTAGAATCGACTCGAATTAAGACATTTAAGGTCTTCAGATCCAAGTTGGGGCGGGTGCCCCCTTTTGGTTTCGAGACAGTGAAAAGGTTGGAGTAAAACTCCTGAAACCGTTCTGCCGATGGCAGTAACCCAATAATTTAAAAGATCTGCCAGAGCAGATTGGAGACAAAAGGTTTGCGATTGAACTGAGCTTGGGCCTGGTTTTGGAGTGTGAAGCCTGGAAGAACCAAACGGAAATCTTGGCTTCAGGGGTGGAAGGAATCTTCCCAGGTTGAGGCCTGGGCTTCTTCTTCTGCTGGAGTAAATGTGTACCTTTTACCTTCAGTAATATCCTTTATGAAGTTGTCTAAAGCTACACCAAACAGGCATTCACCATCAAAAGGCATGCACAGCAAGTGCCTTTTTACATTGCTGTTCCACTTACCAACATTTCAGCCAAAGAGTTCTATGTATATTTCCAGATAGGAGACTCAATAGGGAAATAAGACAGACAATATTGACTAACCTGTGCAGTAGTGTAGGGTTGTATGCATAAGCTCTACAACTAGATGGTCAGTAAGGACAGTAGCCAGATCATTAGACATAAGCTTAGTCCATTTCCCTAAGGTATTACAAGTGGACATCACTGCTATAGCAGGTTGCATGACTGGTTCTGTCAAAAAAAATGGAAAGGGCTTGCAGAGGATTGTCAATGGGATCCTTAAACATCCTCAATAGTTACGGTCAGTGTTTTATTCAAGTGATAGATGCTGCTTCTTAATGTATTCAATTTTTAGTTTCCTATAGAATTAGCTGGCCCCCTGAGCACTGGCCCTGATATCATCTTTTAGGGTGGCTCCTTTCCCTTGCAGAGTCCTATGGAGCCACCTTTGTGTGTGTTAGTAAGCTGTGTGTGTGTCTCCACAAACACACAGCAGGGCAAACCATTCCCCCGCTACTCGTTTCTCCTTTCCGCATGCTAGTAGATAGACAGTTGCCAGGGACTGCTCGGTCTATTTTGATCTTGTACTCAACAATAAGTTCAGGAAAGCAGAGGTCAGATAATTGGAGCCAGCAAGCATTTTCTTCATAAAGTTGATATTTATTCGTCACATAATCATAATAAAACATCGCCAACGTGTTTCCTGGTGCTACACTCGAATGCACTGACATTTCCATGTACGGTATATCCTTATAGAACACTAGCAAAAAGCTGACGAATAATGGGAGTGGCTATACTTGGCTGGCCAACAGCTTTTTTTTTTGTTTGCCAGTGTCCAATTTCTTCCGTAGGTGTAAAAGTTTTTTTGTTTTTCTAAAAAGCAGCTTCCACTGCAAATACTCCCCTCCTTTCTGCTCCTGTCAGTTCTGCTGCTGCCACCACTCTTCCGGGTTCCATCATACCCTGTGTTTTTCAACCCACTTCTTGTAAGCTGAAGGTGTCATCATGAGTGGGGACGGGGGCTGTTGACTGAAGCTGGAGTTGGACTTTAAATGATTGCAGTACTCTGAGACTTGCCAAAAGCAGCAAGGAACAACGTTGTGAACTGACCAAAGCCATGTCTTCTTTCGTAATACAATGATCTGGTGTTGTTCCTCCTCAGGAATTCCAGGAAAAGATATGATTTCAGATGTGATGACAAAGTCTGCTGCACTAAAAACGCCTATGTCAGAGATCTTCAGACCACATTCCGGTATGTTGTTTGTGTCTGAACTTGGCTACTGACCAATTCTACTGCCTGGTGTATTATTTGCTATTGCTGCTTGCTAAGTGTGCTGTCCCGGTCATCCTAAGGTTACAATGTGCAGACCAGAATAGGACTGAACCCATGAGACCAAGCCAGGAGAAGTCTACAGATGATGAGCGGATCTGTAATGGGGAAATATTTTATATAACTGATGTGAGTAACATCCTGCATTGTATGGACATTTGTGAATAAACACCCATATTGCTAAACTGATTATAGACTTTTTCTGGTAAAGTCATATAATGCCATAAGTTGATCACCTGGGTGCAGTATGAAGCTTAATATAAAATATATTTTTTTGTTTACTACAGGATGTAGAGAAAGATAAAATCCGCGAACTAACCTTATTTGATGGAGAAGAGAGAACGTACACACTGAATTATAAAGCCCTTCGAATTCGCAGTGGTTTGAATTATGCATGGGCCAGGACCATTCACACATTTCAGGTATGTGGTGCCACTTTTTAATAACAAATATCAGTCCAGTTTAGACATACTGCATATAGAACTGGTACAGTAATTAAGACTTCCTTTCAATTTAATTACCTTTCATACAAGTTAATCATCATTTCGGCAATTATGTAAGCCTGAAGATATTTCACAGGAGTGTCTTCACAATGCTCCCTGTTAAAGTGCTGTTTTGTGGGCATATTGTATATTCAGAAATATGTAAAATACTAATGCATCAAGGAGTTTGTGCCCTATTTCTAGCCGTTGAGTCACAATTTGTTATGGGCAGTGCATTGACATCTCAGCCTATCTGATATGATTGGATCCCTAATATTGAGCTTCTCCGGCACTGTCACCACAGACCAGATGCAAGAGAGACCTGAGAGCGTAAATAGAGATGAATTGGATGTACCTTACAAAAGGGCGCAAATTAAATCTGTAGACAGGCGCTCGATTTGAATCCTGGTGGGGAAGCCTATATGATAATATTAAGGCTCTTGATGTGAACCTGACCTGGCTGCAGGTCAAATCAAAGGTTTGGAACAGTCAACCGTGGAAGTCTTACACTTTGGTCCTATGCTCCTCAATGGAGCAGGCTATACAGTCATGGCCACAAATATTGGCACCCCTGCATTTCTGTCAGATAATGCACCACGTGGCGCAGAAAATTGTTGTAATTACAAATGTTTAGGCATTATCGTGTTAACTTCTTTTGTTTGTATTGGTATGACACAAAAAAGTGGAGAAAAAAAAAGCCAAATCTGACACATTCCATGCAAAACTCCAAAAATAGACTGCAACAAAATTATTGGCACCCTCAATTAATATTTGGCAGCACAGCCCTTGGAAAAAATAACTGCTATCAATCGCTTCCTGTAACCATGAATGAGTTTCTTACACCTCTCTACAGGAATTTTGGACCACTCTTCTTTCGCCAACTGCTCCCAGGTCTCTCAGATTGGAAGGGTTCCTTTTCCCAACTGCTGCTTTGAGATCTCTGCACAGGTGCTCTATGGGATTTGGATCTGGACTCATTGCTGGGCAGTCCAGTACTCTCCAGCGCTTTGTCTGAAACCATTTCTGGGTCCTTTTATGATGTGTGCTTTGGCTCATTGTCCTGCTGTAAGACCCATGACCTCTGACAGAGACACAGCTTTCTATAACTGGGCCCTACATTGCACCCCAGAATTCTTTAATAGTCTTTAGATTTCATAATGCAATGAACACAGTCAAGACATCCAGTTCCTGAAGCAGCAAAGTAACCCCAAAACATCAGTGTACCTCCACCATGTTTGACTGTAGGGACTGCATTTTGTTTCTTCAAAGGCCTCATTTTTTTCACTGAAACCATGAGAATGATGGACTTCACCAAAGGCTGTAAATTTGTTTTGTCAAAAATCTATTTATTTTGTTTGTATTGGTATGACACAAAATTAACAAACTTGAGAATGCCTAAACTTTTGTAATTGCGACAATTGTCTGTGCGAAGTGGTGCATTATCTGACAGAAATGCAGGGGGTGCCAATATTTTTGGCCATGACTGTATAATTAACTAGTGCATGGATGGCTTTTATCTTAGGTGCTGAATGCAGTGCAACCCAGACTAGACAAATGTAAGACTTTAGGAGTCATATAGTTTTATCTAGGAGCCAGCACATGCTTGGGTAGACCCATAGAATCTATATTTCCTTTAGTAACAGTAATAGAGCTGAAGCAATTTGTCCAGCATAGGTCCCCATGAACCTATACATTTTGCCTTGGTTTTCATAATGCAGTGTAGAAAGGCCAGGGGGGGTGGAATAAAAAAAAACAAAATCAGGACAATTTACTTGTCCGGATCCAAAAAATAGTTTTAACCATGCTAAAAGGCGCTTCACAATGGTCAGCACAGTCACCTGACTGTATTGACCAACGAGTGCTCGCAATTTGTGAACAAAATTCAAAATCCATAGTGCAGGGCTGCGCTGGACAGCATTATGTGAAACAGATGGTACACCCATACCGACAGAGGGGGAAGGACAGTTTGCCAAAAGGTAAGCTTACACGCCCCCCATGTGATAGCATATTGGCAGTGACAGGTCATCTTTAAGGTGATACTGGGGGTCCAAATGAACCCTAGTATCACATTTACACTTGAAATAAGCTATTGAAATGCAGATCGCACTTCAATAGCTTATTGCTGGGCTTCAGGAGCCGAGCAATGACAGCTATGGGACCGGAAGTGATGTAATCTGCATTGCTCTCGGTCCCATAATATGGGGAGAAGATCGGTGAGTGGAGGTTTGCCGATCTCCTCCCCAGCTTCCCCCCAGACACATGAGAAGCCATAGGAAAGGCGTTGGACGTGTCGGTGGGGGCGTGCGTTTACCGGCCCGTACAACCGATCTGGTGACAGCTGAGTCGCCAGAATCGCTTCTTTTGTAAAGCCGGCCATCGGCTTTACAAATGTAAACAGAGTCCTGGCCACCAGGATTCTGTTTAAATGGGCCTGATGCCAGTGACACTGTACGTCACTTGTCATGAAGCGGTCAAGGTTATAACTGAAGACACAGCAGTAAGGGAGTTTTTTTTGTGCTATAAAGGACAGAGTGTCACATCAGTTGAAGAACCCTCAAACTAGCTCGCTGGGATAATTGAAGCTTTAATATTCAAGAATGTTACCTGTTAACTGACTGGAAAAATCAGCCACCCATATGAAGGGTCGTAGATAGACCGCTTTGCAACAATATGGGATTTTGTTGCAGCTCTTAAGAGCTTTGGTGAAATTATGTTATATATTCTTTTTTTTTCCCCAGGGCTCTGAAGAAGACACAGTTGTGTATGTTCTAGGCGCTGCTGGCAGACAGACCTGGAAGCATGTATACACTGCTGTAACACGGGGCCGCAAGCGTGTCTATATAATTGCAGTGAGTATTCAGCTTGATCAAGCAATTGCTAACAGGTCTCGTGAAAGAAAAACTAGACTGCAGCAGCGTCTGAAGGATGAGTTGTCTCAAAGTGGCACCTTGCCACAGTCCAGTACTTCTGCTTCCACCAACCAAGATGAGTTTGCTGTGGCTTCACAGGAGCACACCCCACTTAAATCATCTCCGCACTTAAAATGTACCTCTGTGCCTTCCACTCCGGATATGGCTACCTCAAAGAAAAGCTGTGCTGATGGAGATTATGCTGCAGGATACCCAATGCCGTCACCAGCAGGCTCTCCATTGAATCGTGAAAGCCGAGTTGTGGAGGAGTCACCCTCACAGAAGAGGGCAGGAATCCCTGTAGATGGCATGGAGACCCCTTCCAAGCAATATCGGCTTGACAACTCCAGGGTATCATTCTTTTCTATCAGTTGTTACAACCATACAGTTATAGTCATGTATTTGGAGTAATTAAATGTATTAAACTGGTAATAATTTAGATGATTGATCCTACTTAAATCTTTCAAGTCCTCTGTGGTCTAGTATTTAGGAGTACCTGTACCCCTAAATGTTATGGTCACTGAGAAAGGTATCTAATTGATTTTTAAATTAATTAATATTCTCTGGTGATACCACTGCTTGTGGCAGAGATCTCCAACATTTAACGGCTTTAACTGAAAACAATCCCCTACACCCTTTGTGGTTAAATCTTTTCCACCAATTGTAGGTGGTGGCCTCTAGTCCTTGTTAAGGTGGCCATACACTGTACGATGGTTGTAAAGGGATAAAAAAAAAAAAAACGTACGATCTGCCCATCTTGGACGGGCAGATCGCACTCTCGATCATCGCAAGCCACGCCCCCTGAGGGGCGGGCTTGCAATGACTGTAATGAGGGGCTGGCTTACGCTGACTGCAAACGGGCAGTGTGCGCGTGCGCACACCGGCCCGTTCGGCAGTTGTCGAACCAGCAGGCCACCAACTCGCCGAGAATCGTACGATTCCCGGCGGGTTTTCAAACATGATGGTTCGATGGAAGATGTGCGACCGTACAGTAGAAACAGTCACATGCCTTCCATACACTGCACGATTCTCGTACGATTTCCCGCGATTCTCGTACGAGAATCGTGCAGTGTATGGGCACCTTTAGGGAGTTTACAGTAAAAAGTTTATTGCCGATGTTGCCATCACCACTAAACATTTTGTACATTAAAATTATGTCCCCCATTAATCACCTCACTTCCAGCGTGAACAAATTTAAATTTAGCAATATTTCAGGTTTAATATTTACAACTATTTCCAATGTGAATGTTTAAACAAAATGTAACTGTGCTTATATCCATACTTAGTGTCTCCGTTAGTGAGGCCTAGTGTCACCTAGTGCCTGCCATATACAATATACAGTTATAATGAAATTCCTTTTCGGAAAATGCTATTTGCTTGACAGTGATGCCGACTCCCTAGGTTCAATACTTTGACCTGGAAGAAGCATGCAGATTAGGACTTCTGACTTTTTCGATCTACATACCTGTGTCCTGGGGCAATGATTCAAACTAAGAGTCTAATGGCCAAGCAACTGGCAGTTCAGGAAGGGGGGGGGCGCATGGCTGCCTCCATAATTCATGTCTGTTTTATACAAAGTCTCCAAGGTATCTGACTTCCTTCAATTTTCTTTTTCAGAATTTGGAAGAAACCTCTCCTTCAAGTGGACTTCAAAAACTGAGCATAAATAGTTCATGTAACAAGCAGCTTTTCCATTACTAAGGATAGCGAACTTTTAATGATACTGGATGGGGGTGCTGGGAGCCTTGTTTACAACCATCCACAGCAAGTAGATGCTCTTGTCACTTTATAATGTAAAGCAGGGCATTGACTTTGCATTGCACTAGGGATTCCTTCAAATTCTAAAGTTTTAATGATGTATTGTTGTATTGCTAGAAGCATTATTAGATGAATGTGATGTATATAGTGGTAAATGCCATATTGTTGAAAGAGGTTTAGTAAATCACTAGGGGCTCTTACCTTCTTCTTTCATGTTTCCTACCTCTACATGCAGAATATATATCTTTGTGAATTGGGTTGGAGACAGGCAGCTTTGTGACCAGAAAGCAGTAGTCAAATGGTTGTGAGAATAGAGGCTAACCAATTGGCAAATGGTTTAAGTTCATGTGTTTTGTTTGCCTTGCAGGTATAGTTGACTAAAGTTAGCTTTGGTTACATAGTGCCCTGTTTGTTACTGCTTTTTTTTTTGCTGGTATTTATGTGATGGAAAGATGTGTTGGTGCACCAGCAAGCAACTAAGAGTTTCTTCCTCATACAGATGCCAGATCTTTGTATAAGTAATGATAGGAGCAGTAGCCTAACCAGGCAGCACTTAATGTGCACAATGGTGTGGTTGTTATTTTAGAATCATTAAAGAACTCCAGGCCAAACTTGTATTAACCCCTGCACTGCAGAGGTTAACTGCTCGTTTTGGTCTAGGGAAGAAAATAGTTGTACTCATCCGATCCTTTGAGCCCGCTGGCTGCGACAGCGCTCCCTTCTGCCGGTCTTCTTCTACGCTCCATTGATGCACTGTGTATATAGAACATGACTCCGGGACCTTAGATCGCTGCAGTGGAGGGGGAGAGAGACTGAAAGGATTGGTCTAAGAGCAAGCTAGCTCCAAGGATCAGGTGAGTAACTTTTTTATTTCTTTTCCTCCCTAGACCGAAATGAGCATTTAATCCTTGCAGTGTGGGGGGTAGTCCCACTGCAGGGGTTAATAAATGTTTTGCACAGAGTTCTTCCTTAAAGTCCCTAGGCAGTTTTGCAGCAATCAGGCACTGTTAAATGTTTAAAAAAAAAAGTTAAGCTATGTTAGAAGTAGTAGAAATTCAGCTTTCTAAAGAATTGCTTCAACAATTAGGTAAAACAGTGGTTTACTGTGTAAGTGTGACCTGTCAATTCATAATAATAAAATGTCTTCATTAAAACTAACAAAGGAAAAGAATATGGAACTACCGTTACCGACTTGTATTTAAATCTGCAGCAGTCTGGGCAGTTACTCTTACTTCACTGCCTAGTGAGTCACTGATCTGGAGCAAACAGACAGCCAGCCAAAGAAGTCTGAAAAGCACTCATCCTGTATGGCTGTGTTATGGTATCAGTAGGTGGTGCAGTTAAGATGAAGATGATTTTTCTGACCCTGCTAAATAAAACAAATTCAGCAATGGCAGCACACATTTCGGTACTTGTGGGTTTCCTTTATAGCCTGGTTAACACAGTAGTTTAAAGGTGATCATGTAAAGCAGACACTTATGAAATGTTTCTTAAGCATTTTATAAACTCTAAAGTGACACTAAACTCAGGAGTTAAATCTTTAAAAAAAAATGCATTTAAGTACCTCAACTATTAACAAAAATGTATCTTATTTGTGTATCAATTGGACTGTAGATCCTCAAATCATCTCTGAATTGGTGCGAACACTCTCCTTCCTTCTGGAGTGTGGCTACTTCTGTTCCCCATGGTCCCTGTGTGTGTTGTAAAGTAGCCACCGCTCCAAGCTCGCTCCTGTGATGGACTACAATCTCAATATAAATTAGCTAACTAAATGTGAGATTGTAGTCTATCACAGTAGTGAGCTGGGAGCACAGGGACCATGGGAAACAAAAGAAGCCACCCTCTAGAAGGAAAGGACAATGTCAGCATAAATTCAGAGATGATTTGAGGATCTACAGCCGACTGAACACAAATAAGATACAGTTTTAATAGTGGAGGTACTTTAATGCATTTCTATAGTGGACCTTTACACTCAAAAATCGAATTCTACCAATACATCCCTCTATGTATGATGATTAATAATAACATAGACATGTCAGGTGTAAAATTGTGTGATTATGAAATGCTTACAATTGCAGAGCATTCACTTCCTGCTTTGAAAGTGCAAATTACTTCAGTTTGCCAACGCAATGCACACTGGGATTGCCTTGTCATCGGCAGAGCATTGCTGGGAAATCTCATCTCAGGGAAAGGCATGTTTCTCCCCTGAGAGGATGTGCATGGTCACAGGTCCTAGTCACATGCGCCAGATTTTCAGGAAGTAAAATGAGATCTAGTAACCTGCCCTTTAGTAAACATGGCCACTGTCGGAAGACTGGGGAAGAAAAGAGAAATACAAAGCCAGCAATTATCTAGAAGCATGTAGATTTATCATTACTAAACATTTTTATAGGTGTCTTTGTTGTTGTTATTTTAAAGATATGGGTAAAGGTCTGCTTTAAGATTTAACTCCTGAGGTTAGTGTCATTTTAAGCATCATTCCTCAACCTCCAGTCATGCTCCATATGGATAACAATGGGAGTGTAACTTTAAACAAGCACTGGACAAAGCCTGTGAAAAGCTTGCTTAAAGCTACAGCCAGAACTGCTAATAAGATCCTTATTTGTCATTCCCAGTCTGGAGCTGGAGACTAATTTAGAGGCATTAGGAAAGGCCTTATAAATGCCTGCTGTGCACAACACTGTTTAATCTAGCATTTACAAGACAATGTCGGTGTGAACATAAGGCTGGCATTATTAGCAAAAATAGCCTTATAAGATATAGAGAAACATTTTCCTATATACTTGCATGTTATGTTGGGTAACTGTTACTCTGGTATTGTTCAGTTTTTGTGTTCCAGTTACTATAAATACTTGGCACCCTCATTGTTTTATATCATTTATTCCATTTTGTACATCATGATTGTTCCATACAAAGGTTTCAACAGCTTGAGTTCCCAAAACCATACATAAGACCATAAATGTCATGCTATTAAAGTATTAAATTTGTACAAAAATACTTTACAGTTAAATACTTGTTTGTTACAAACAAAAATACATATTTAATTAAATGATACGATTTCCTTTTCTCCCATCTTTTTTGTGTATTAGTATACTTCATATTTTGACTGGCAGTGTGTTGTAAAACAGTATGCTTGCACAGATAAGAATAACATCCATTAGACAATACCAAGGGACTGTAGAGTGCAGTTTTCTAGACACACGATGGAGGCTTCCTGGATCCTCTTCTACCCAGCAGACGCCAATGCTTGGGAGGGCAAACAGAGCTGCTGGTGAGTCTCCAATCAAAATAAGAATCACTTTATTGCTTCCAGGGATAGACTATTGGCAAAGCTCTTTAAACATGTACACCTCTAAAACAATGAGACATGG